GATACCCCCACCGTCGTATAAAAAAGATATTATTTTTTGCTTCGCATCAACCTACATCGAATGCAGCCAGTGGTTTCGGTTTGTCCTCATCCTCCTCGTTGGTTCCTGCCTTTCCATCATTCCATTTCATGGTATTGTGTCCTTGAGCAAACCTTTGTTCTTCGTGTTCCTCACCGTTTGCGATGACCTCGGCGTTGATGTTGGAGCCCAGAATATCATCCATATTCACCTCTTGCTTCTGCTTCTCTCTTACTTGTGCCAGTTCTTGCGGTTGGATCAGGTACAGCTCCACGCGACCGACATGGCAGAGTTCAAACATACTCTTGACGAATTCGGTGGCACCTAAGAAGAACAGCGCATATTTTAAAGGGTTGTATTGGCTGAAAAGTCATACATTTTCATGTGTATCCCATTACCCTCTCAAAAACATTGTGAGATGAACGTGACAAAAATACCATTTCTGAATGATGATTGAATGAGCATACTAACAAATCACATAGCTGAAATTAAAAAAAATTTAAATCACTGAAGATATATTCATTTGCAACCCGGAATGATTATTGTTAGGCGATATTCATTGATTTGATTTTAAAGTTAATGATGATCGACTGCATGCGCTAGCAAAGGAAGCATACTTTTTGATGACCAGAATTGGGGGGCACAAGATAGTTCAGCAGTCAGTTAACTTTGCAAGGCCGTTTCTGGTGTTCATTTCCTGCTAGTGGAACGTGCTAATCTATTTCGCCTTCAGATCTCTGGTTATGACGTGGTAATGTTCAGTAGCTTGACTAATTTCAGAGTAAACGTATTGCAGGGACTTGTGTAATTATTTTGGAAAGTTCCCTCTTCGAAAGTCGGGCCACATTAGGAAGGCCTCGCAGGGAATGTGTGTGTCTGGGAGAAGGAAACCAGCAGTGAAAAAAAGTTACAATACTTCCAGTACTGACTATGTTACTGGTTATTATATTTGACCCAAAAGAATTTATTCGGTTGCACTTTTTGAGCGTTAAATGCCTAGCAGTTTGGGGTATCCTAACAAACTTGGAGCTTTTTTTGTGAGCAAAGGCTTTCGACAAAATATCAGCTTTATGCATATTTGAAGGCAGGAGGTAGAGCCTCTTGCGCAAACCTACCATCGGTAGTCTGCCTTTCCCTAGTGCTAGGAATAATAATTAGAGAAGCATTTTTTTCAAATTTTTCCCCGTAACGGACTGCAAGTAGTTATAATCCGTCGCATTAATGTGTTTAACTTTACGCCTGTGACACTCATATGGCTGATCCAATTCAGCTGGTTCGGCAAAAGTTCCCAAAAAATGGTCGAGTCTACTACAAGGCAGCCATATATATTGAATAAATCGGAAGACAGGCACCCGTATAAGTATACTTAGAAGGCAAATGCATTGCTAGTGAGAATAAGAAACCTTATTGGGTAAATATACGAATTAGGTTCAACGCCTCATTGTCAGGCCTGAGAAAATAGCCAAGGAAAAAACAGTTACCGATTCTAACCCCTTTGGTGTTTGTGCCAGTAAGCGACCGCCATGCGTATCATTCTGCATTTATTGGTTCTCATCTCTTCCATTTTGCTCTGGGATTTAGTATACAGCATCCAACGCAATGTGCCGATTTAAAAATGACTCCTCGAAATACTTGATTCAAGAAACTCTCAGTGTTTTTGTTGGGGTGGGGAGCGGACCCCTAGGATCCGAGTTTTGTGTCAGGCGAAGGTATGTCAAATATCTAGAATATGTATGGTTACTTAACTGCCTGTGGTTGTTTGTGAATGCATGTAGATGCAGCTTCTTTTCCATTTGGCCGCAAGATACGACACCGCAGACATTGCATGAGATGTTGCAGATGAATGGATTCTTATTAAAATAAACAGCCCTATCCTGTGGGCATACAAGCTGAGTGCGTAAATTATTCGCCGGCTTGTGTGCTACCCAAAGTTTCTTTCAACGATTACAGAGACATTCCTTGTATAAGGAAGGATTTGCCAAGTATTTGCTTTGGGCGCCTGATTGGAATTATTTAGTTCCTTTTCTTTGGATTCTTATTGGTTCATGCATCGACGCATGACATCTCTAGAGTAGCTAACGCCTTAATCCGCAGAGTCAGTTGAATGCTGTTTAAATGATTCTCAGGGAACGAGGACCAATCAATAGACAGTGATGTACACACATACCGCGGCCGCTTAAAGGCGCAAACCTCAAACGGGTATGCATTTTTTGAGATACGCTGGTACTATTAACTTTTTGGGATATTAACTCAAGCCTGGCGAGGAACATTCCTCGAAAATTCACTCAATAAAATTTCCTATTTTTCATCAAGAATGCATTTTCCCTTAAACATTATATTATAAACAGTATGGGTTAAAATCGTGCAACCTTCATGACGAGATTTGACTTGGTAGTTTAGCATAGAGTAGGTAACATTATTTTGGTTTGTTGAGTGAATTTGATCCTGGGAAGGCCTTTTAGTTAGGAAAATCGCCATTTTAATTGGGTTTATTAAGAGAAATGGGCATTAATTTTGGCGACATTTGGAGTAGTCTCATATCGAAGGAATTTCCTATGCTATTACGTAGGACAGAACAAACCTTTTATTAATGTGCATTATGCTATGTAGGAAATCCAAACTAAGTAAAAAAGTGTAAAACATATCCCTTCTAGAACTAAATTTTCTCCGAGATAGTTCAGATCCAAGTGAAGCCAAGTTGAAGGAATCGCATTTATTTTCGAAGACAGCGTAAGTAGCAGAATTTAATGGCACCATAAATTTCGCGAGC